GCGCAGCAATCAGCTCCCCCCGAAAGCTGGGCCGGTAGAGCCACATCCCCACCTCTCTGACGGGAGGCTTACTCCAGCAGGGTGGCCGTGCCCCCCGGGGTGAGCCGCTGGTCCATTTCCCAGAGCTGCCCCGACAGGGCGAGCCAAGGGGGCCGTCCGTGCAGCTCACCTGGTCCGAGTTCCAGCAGGTCTCCTCGCTCCCGTCGAACAGGTGCTTCTTCCCAAACTGCTTCGCGTCCCGGTTGAGCACAGAGCTCACTCTGCAGAGACACAAACCGGAGTCGCAAGGGCTGGTGCTCGGACGCCCAGTACCCAGAATGCCCCATTCCCACGCCAAGCCCTGGTATAGAATCATAGAACACTAGACCTGGAAGGGACTGCCAGAGGGCATCAAGTCCAGTCCCCTAGATCAGGGCTACTCAACACGAGGCCCATGGGCCGTTTGGGTTTCCACAGGGTTCAACGCGCAGCCCACAGGTGGGAGCCAAACCAAAAAAGCAGCCAATAGAATGGTCTTCTGTTGAGATGCGTTTTAGTGGCTAAATTCCCGGACTGTCACTGCTCATTAAACGTGTGTCCTATGGGTGGAAGTCGGGTAGATATCGCATTTTATTAATATCGGCAGAACTGACTTCAATGGGGCCTGTGTGCTGTGTCGTCTTGCCTTAAACTTTGTATTTGTGCCCGTCAGCGTGAAAGAAGCGATTTGTACATATATGCAACCACACTTAATGTGCTGTGAGTATCATTGTGGCCCCTGGGGCTTGCAGAGTTGAGTAGCCCTGGTCTAGATCATCCCTGAGAGATGTCTAGCCAACCTGCTCTTCAGTCTCTCCAGAGATGGAGATTCCACAACCTCCCTGGGCAATTTATGCAAGTGCTTCACCACCCGGACAGTTGGGAAGGGTTTCCTAATGTCCATCCTAAACCTCCCTTGCTGCAGTTTAAGCCCATTGCTTCTCGTCCTGTCCTCAGAGGCCAAGGAGAACAAATTTTCTCCCTCCTCCTCGTAACACCCTTTTAGGTCCTTGAAAACTGCTCTCCTGTCTCTTCTCAGTCTTCTTTTTTCCAAACTAAACAAGCCCAGTTCTTTCAGCCTTCCCTCCTAGCTCATGTTTTCTAGACCTTCCGTCTTTTGTGTTGCTCTTCTCTGGCCCCTCTCCAATTTCTCCCCATCTTCCCTGAAATGTGGGGCCCAGAACTGGACACAACACTCCAGCTGGGGCCTAATCAGCTCAGAGTAGAGCGGAAGAATGACTTCTCGTGTCTTGCTCACAACACTCTGGTTAATGCAGCCCAGGCTCCTGTTTGCTTGTTATGCAACCGTGTCGCACTATTGACTCCTATTTAGCTTGTGGTCCGCTCTGACCCTTAGACCCCTTTCTGCAGGGCTCCTTCAGTACTATCCGCAGACTCAAAGCCAGGCTTCTCAGGAGACCGTCTCTAACAGGCAGGAAACCTATTCTGGGTCAGGGGCTGCTGACCCACAGAAAAATCACCCAAGTGAAAAGCAAAAATTCCCCTCGCACACCAGAGCCTGGGGGGGCCCAGGCTACTATATTCTGTGGGCCCTCCTATGCTCTGGGTTGGGCCAAAAATGCAGAGTTCAGTGTGTGGGAGAGGGCTGCTGGGAAGTGGACTTGGGGAGTGGGGTCGGGGCAGGAGGGAGGGTACAGGAGTGGGTTGGGGGTCTGGGAGGGTGCAGGAGCAGAGTGGGGTGCAGGATCTGCAGGGGGCCATAGGGTTTGAGTGCCAGCTCCCTGATGCGGGGGGAGCCCCGAGCCTCAGGGGCTGGATCCGGGCAAGCCAAGGGCCAGATTTGGCCCACGGGCCAGAAGCTCCTCACCCCTGGTCTATAACCACGGGGGCTGTGCCGAGGAGACCAGGGAGAACAAACCCATGTGGAAAAGGTGCCAACGGCCCAGCCTGGAGCCTGAAGTCCCTCCATGCAACAAAGACAGCAGCACAGCCTGCGCATAACACCCCCCCTCCGGAGCCCCTCCGGGAAGAGCGCAGGAGCCGTCTGCCTGCTCCCAAAGCCACCTGTCAGGGTCGGCAGATTCACAGGGCAGGAACGAGAGCTCAACTTCCAGGGGGTGGTGGGTTTTCCTTCCTCACTGTGACTCGTACCCCAAGGAAAAGCTCACTGCCGCATGGAAAAATTCAGGGCAGCGGATCTCTGAAAACTCACCGGCTCACAGTCTCACTGCAGACCAAGGGTCCCATGGGCATTTCGCCGCTCAAATTGTTGCCCCTCTCCTGCAAGAGTAACCTTCCAGCACGCTCCACTGATGAGGTTGGGTGCCAAAGCTCCCGGGTGCAGCCTGCGATGGAGGGGAGCCAGGTAAGGGGGCTGCCGCAGGGTAGTGGAACAGAGGGGAAAGAAGATCCGTTCTCCGCCTTGCTGTGTGCTGCAGAAAGATTAATGTCATAGAACACAGGATGCGGGAAACACTCCCCAGAATCAGTCGCAGAGATGCCAAGAGACAATGCCCAGCCCCACTCCACATGCTATCTACACACAAACACCACCCAGCTATTTCCTCCAAGCTGAGCTGGGTTATTTTCATCCCTGTGTTCATTGAACTGACACACATGGAGGGAAAGATCTTTTCAATACTTCACTCTGCCCATTCCCAGTCTCTCACTCAATTGGCCCCTCTGGGCACCCATAGATTGTACACTAATCCTCCACTTTCCGGCTCAGTGCAAACTGGAAAATCTCATCTCCTAGCAGAGTCATTTGGAGAGATTCTCCTGGGGTTCAGCATCAAGGATTTGGGTTTTATCCACGTAGGCAAAAAATAAAGGCCCCACAGGCCTTTTTAACAGCCGGAGGCAGCAAGAAAGGCCCAGCCCACACACGCTATCCCCCTTCTTCCCAGGCATGGCATGTTGGGGGCTGCTTGAAAACATTTTTCAACACTTTCAAAACTAAAACCAACTTAGCAAGAATGCAGCGAGCGCCCAGCCCAACCCAGCAGGCCTGGGTGCAGAGGCAGGAAGAAGCGGGCAGGGTGACAGACAGCAGGACCCAGGGTCCAGCATGGCACCAGGTCCCAACTGGGAGAGGAGGGATTAAGAGCAGCATCTTCTCTGAAGTCTCTTCCCTCCTGCAGCTCCTGAGCCCTTCCCTGTAAAATCACTAGCAAGCCTAAGGCAGGGGTGAGGGGAGGGGGTGTAGCCAGGGAAGCAGGAACGCTGACAAGATCCGGGGGCAGCAGTAGAGGATCCGCTAAACATGGACCTTTCCGGAATCCTGGGTCCTGTTCTCATGCCCCCATTTCCTGGAGGACGTAGGGTTGGAGCCAGCGTTCCCCACGAGCTGGGCGCTTGGGCGGCCGCTCGGAAGAAATTCAAATGCCACCCAGCTGATTAGCAGAGTGCCCACAGCCTGGGTTTTGTTTGGATGGGTGGTGCACATGCCTCAGTGCACATAATCAAATTTGTTCCGCACAGGCATGGAAAAGATGAGGGGGAACATTGATTAGAACTCAAGCTATTTAGCGTCACATAGGGAAGGGGTAGGAGGGAATTGATCTCTGCCATTACCCCCTTGGGGAAGCAATATTCAATCACAGCTCTTCAGGCTAACAGGGAACCGCCAGACGCAAACCAAGAGCTGGCTACATTGCAGACCTTGGAGCGGTACCCCTGTAGGGCGAGCACTGGAAGGCCTCCAGTGTAGTAGAACTCAAGCTATTTAGCGTCACATAGGGAAGGGGTAGGAGGGAATTGATCTCTGCCATTACCCCCTTGGGGAAGCAATATTCAATCACAGCTCTTCAGGCTAACAGGGAACCGCCAGACGCAAACCAAGAGCTGGCTACATTGCAGACCTTGGAGCGGTACCCCTGTAGGGCGAGCACTGGAAGGCCTCCAGTGTAG